AGCTGAGTATGGAGTGGGGGGATAGCTCTGGTATAACCGTTACCTAAAGGTAAATCCCAAAACTTCTCCAATCCTCCAATCCAAGGTTCCTCCAATTGACGAATTGACCCAAAAGAACCAAAAGTACTTGGGCATGGGCTAACTGGATTCTCTGCCGATAGCCGATTGCCGATTCTCGCTGGGCCATGGGAAAATGCAAATGACCCGAGACCGGGTCCAGTCTGGACTGGCGGACTTGGCCACATTTGCATACAACATACAGCATGCGACACGATTATGGTTATGAACATGTTAACGATGTGAGCCCAGTTAACGGTTCCACAAACATATATACATACCATATATCCATAAATGCATACTCGATAAATGCATTACTCGCTCTGAAAAATAAATCTTTTAAAACGAAAGGGAAATCCTTGAAGTGATGGAATATTTTACAAGAAATACCATAAGCAGTTCTTAGCTTAAAATCATAAAAGAAAAAAAAAATCTACAGCTCGAACCGAGAACAGTAGCATTTGCTCTGATGGATTCATTGACCTGGTAACCTCCGCGAAATGATGATCAGTCCATTGTCTGCCATTCCGTTCTCCGTTCTTCTGGGTCATCAACTGATTCCGGATTCAGACGTATTACTACCACTACCTCTATACCACTATACCACTAATACGTTGTACGGAGTACCATTGACTATCAAAATATTTTTCGCCATTAAGATCGGTGATTATATTTTGCCATCAAGCATCAAGCATCATTCCGTTTCATTCCATTCCGGAATCCGGATTCCCAGTTCTTCGGCACTTTGCACTCAAATAGATGGGCAGAGCTTCATTTGGCCTGATGATGATTACTCTGGCTCTGGGAGTAGTAGAGTCTTCACTGTACCGACTCCAGGTCTTGTGGCTAATGGCCTTTCTTTTACCGTTAGCTGTCGTTAGGCGCCAAAATCGCAATAACTTGGCCAATTCGCCAAAGACCGCTGCGAATTTGTCATCATTTTTGGTCGTCGAAGGCAATACAAGCTTCAAATGGCCTTGAACTTAAGTTTTAGAATTTAGAAGAGGGTTTCTATATTTTATTTTTATAAAATAATAAAAGGAATAACCCACCGAAACCTAAAATACATTAAACTGACTATTCAGAGAAGAGCTGTCTCGAAGGACCATTAAAGTATTTTGGTCCTTCGAGACTAATTTTGTTTAGGGAATTTATTCAATGATTATTGATAGACACTACCCTTACTTATAAGCTTTATTATTGCTTTTGAATTGAGGATGAAGAGCTTATTAAAAGTATAAGGTTTTAAAAGCCAGTACTTCCTTAAAGATAAGTCTTCAATATATATTTTTTGAAGAAACTCAAAGCTTTTTATAAAAATAAAAACATAATAGTAATAAACCTTCCAAAAACCTAATTCCCTTAGACTCTAAGAATCTACAAAAATCCCATAAATATGCTTTACTTTCCCATTTAAAAAACTGACAAAAAATATGCTACACTTTAAAGAAAAAGCCTCTTTCCAAGTAGAAAAGACATACACCAGCATGTAAAACAAGTTATCAGTGAGCCACAATTTACTAACAAAATCAACGCAATATATATTTCAAATATTTTAGGTTAATAAGTATAACCAAGAAAATGGGAATTTTCCTGGACGAAGTGATTCGGCCAAAGATTTGTGTTAAAATCCAGTTTGTTATTTTTTATTGTTTGGTTGCAGGAAATTTCAGGGGAATTTCGATAGTGAAGCCATGCAATTTTTAAGGTAAAAGTTTGAAACTGTTTTCAAGATACTCTTACAAAATAAAAATATATTAGTTTTTTTTTTAATAAAACAAAACTTGAGAAGAAAGTGGCTTAAATATTTATATATTTTTTAAAGAACTTTAATTTATAAAAAAAAAGAGTATTTAAAAACTTGAATCTTGACTTTTTAGTTTATTTTCTTCACTTTCCTTTCAACACTGTTGCCTGTTGCTTGTTGCCTGTTTGGCTGTTTCGTTGTTGGCCTGGCCAACTGCCTGGCCAGCGTAACCATAGAGTTTCTGGCAAATTGCATCACAAATGCGGCTCCAGTACCAGCATTTACCAATCCGCTGAAACACTAAACACTTTCGTCTGCAGAAAAGCCCACGAACCACACACACTCACCGGCACACTCACTTAATGACGGCGCGACGTGTGCCCAGTCATCGAGACATCATCGCCCAAAGTGCTGAATTTATCCATGGGCGTGACCAGACATTTTGGCTTAAATCTAAAGTCCATGGATCTTACAAAAATGTATTTAATAGCATTTAGTTTATCTCCTAATGAGTAGAGTTGGCTTTCTTCTACAAGGCATTTCCAATTACCCAACAAGATCGGATGATGTTGGTACGAAAACCACCTGGTCCTGGACCAGGGAACTAGCGATTCAACCGAATCAAGTATTTCATGTTCAAGTCCCGTCTCGGGTTTCAAGTCTCAAGTCCCAAGTCCAATTACGCATTAGTCGTAGATGCAACATGAAATAGTTTGTCAACCTTTCAGGTGCGTAGCAAGATATGTACATGAATATGCAGTTTTTTTTTTGCGTACGTTATTTATAGGCGATGTAAAGCACTATTTTGGTTTTGCTTTTAGGGTTAAGGTGGTATACAATCTAGCTGAATCTTTAGAACACAGTGGGCTCGAAGGAACATTGTGGTAATTTGGTCCTTCGAGACAAATTTGATTTTCAGACGTTTTTCAGTGATTATAGTTACAATCCATCGAACTTTAAAGAAACCCGTTGGAACTTTTAGAAAACAGCTGGCTCGAAGGACCAATGTGGTTATTTGGTCCTTCGAGCCTAATTTTGGTTTAGAACGATCTTTGAAAGCTTGTACTAGCTACTAACCTCTACAAATAAGTTATTTCAAAAATATGTTGTTTAGATCTCTTCAGATATTCTAGTAGAATCTAGAAAAGCAATAGTTTCTTTGCTTATTTCAGAAGACTGTGCCGGTTTCTTAAAGTTCTCTGCAGACCACCTTCTGTATACATATTTCTTGTCTTTCAACTTTCAAGCTGTCTTTAGCCTGTCATTTTCATTCATGTTCAGAGTTTTCCATTGACAATATTGACTCGACCCCAATCTGAGCCGACATCACACTTATGTAATCGAAAGTGTCCCAAGGGGCGTGGAGCGAATGGCACTTGCCACTTGCCACATTTTGCAAATTCGATGAAAGAGCCCCTCCTGGATGGATGGATGCAAGTCTTTCCACTGGACAGCAGCAACATAGGGGGCTTTTGTGTGTGAATGGCTTGGTTAGTTGCGAATAGTTGCGACATTTATTTTGTGGCTCGCCAGGTGCCTCGCCTATTGTTTGGAAGCAAGTTCTTCGAGTTGCAATGGACTGACTGGTCAGCTAACCGATCAGGTCACTCCACTCCACTCCACTTTACTTCACTTTTAGTTTACTTTAGTTTAGTTTTATTTCGAACCAAATCAAGATCCCCAAACTCCCCAAGCTCCTCAAACCTCCTCTCTTTTTTTTTTGTAGCGAAAATTGATCATAAAAAGCATTCGTTTGGTTTCATTTAGTCGGCCTCTTTTTTTTTATTATTTTTTCTATTGCAGTTTGCAGGTTTGCAGTTTATTTTTTTTTTGGTTTTTTTTTTGGTTTTTGTAACTTTGCTGTTTGCACTTGCAGTTGTCGGGTTTTTTGCGAGTGCATATAATGCCTACTGCTTGTTTGCTTTATTGCGCTTTTCCACATACACCACATACAGCATATACCAGTGGCTTCGTGGCTCCGAATCCGATTCCGAGTCCGAACTCCAATCCAATCTCCCAGAGCTTCAAACTCCCAGCCAAAACGTCGCTTGATCAGTTGCGGTTTTTACTTTCATCGGTTCGGTTGGTTGTTGGTTGGTTCATTGTTCATTGTCGGTTGTCGGTGTTTGTTGTCCGTTTGTTGACGGTTGTCGGTTGTCGATAGTCCGGCTAGCCCAACAATAAAACAAATCTCCAAAAAAAAAACAAATAAATATACAACGAAAGAAAAAACCCTCTAAAAAGTACAGAGCTTGTCCAGAAGAGACCAATCGGTTGGTTGGTTTTTGGGATTTTGTTGCTTTTCTTTACATTGGCGTGGTTTACGATTTTTTTTTTGGGGAATGTTTGTTTATTCAATTGCCACCCCGTTTCGTGTTTTTTGGGTAGGAGGATGAGGAAATGCTTCCCCAAAAAAAGAGACTACCAGCCTTTCACTTTTTTTTTCCAGAATCTGTGCGCTCTCCTGACCGAGAATTGCATAATTTTTTGTTTTTTTTTTCATGATTTGATATTGATACGAGTGGTTGAAGTGAAAAGTGATCAACTGGCCGAGGTAATAAAGATCATCGTCACTTCATCATCATCATCATCAGCATCACCATCATCGTGGGGACAAGACACGGAAGTTATATAAGCATCAATGATACCAATAACCTCCCGACGCGTCGGCATTTTCCAACCTGGGCCTGGACGGGGCCGGGCCGGGCCGAAGGCTCTGGCAACTACCGAGACTATCCAACTACCAAGTTACTAACTTATCGTCTTGGCAAGTTGCAGCCTTCGGCCGCGACCACGATGCGAGGCTATATGGTGGTGGTCCACAACACGTTTAACAAGTTTTTCACTCTTTTTGTCGGTTTTCAGGAAATTTTCGCAATTTTCCCCCCAAATGCTGCTTTTGCAGATCCAATTCAGATTCAATTGCATCCATCGGGTGCGGATGACGGTCTGGCCAAAAGAAGAGAAACAAATCACATCACAAATGGAGTCATAAACTAGAAAATATTATGTGTCCGATTACTATAGATAGAGGTGGTCTTACGAAGTGTCCTTATAGCTTGAATGAGATGATATATAGGGGTAGATGAGGGAGTTATGCCTATAGGGGGAGATATCTTAAGAGATAGAGTCTTTATAGAGAGGGTTCTTAGGGTTAAAGAACCCCAACTGATTCCAATTACCATTCCAGGTAGTAGAGGTATACCGCATCCGAATCACGTCCATGAATCCGAACCGATCCCCCTGGTTAGGTGGAAACTGAGATCGCGACACAATGACAAGGTCGGAGCACACCCGAGGAGTCAACTGTGCCCACTGGCGGGTTAGCCAACAGAATACATAAGACAGAGACAATGCATGGCCGCGATTAGCCCGGAAAAGATCTGTACCAGAAGAGATTCCAGAAGCTAGAAGAGAGAGAGAGAGAGCCCCAGAACCACACAAAGGATCCCTCCAACATAGCCAGAGAGAGTCATAAGGACAAGATACGGTTACTTAGGCTTTCCAATGAAGCCCCACTTTTGGATGATATTGTCCGGCTTCCTGCTCGCGCTGCTGCATCCTGTGACCTCGAATGGAACCCAGGCAGAGGCTCTGCATGGTGGGCGACAGGATGGTTTCCCGGCCAGGACCAATAACATCACTATACTTCATGAGGTGGCAACGGAAACCGAACCACCACTCACCCTAAACACCCATGAGGTTCTGCCACTGAAACCGCTGAAGAAGAAACCCTACTTGCCTCTGGAGAAGATCCTGCCCAGCATCGAGTATGTGAAGCCACCGCATCCGCTCAAGGACTACGAACTGCATCCGGTCACGTTCGATTTTAATCTGGGGGACCTGGAGGATCTGGAGCATGAGGTGATCAAGAAGGGTGACCTCACCAGCCAGGAGCAGCATGTCCTGGCCGGGGATTCTTCTGCCCCCATAGATGATGACTTTAGACCCTCCTCCGCCGTCAATCCGGACGAGAATGAAACGGTGCTGGTGGACATCGGAGACCTCTCCACAGAGCCCACCACATCCACCCTGCCGGGGACGACGACTGCCTCCGTTAGCAGCCCAGCCTCCACCTCAACGCCCACCACTCACATCCTGAAGATCCTGCGGAGCAACAAGCCCCAAGTGGCTGGCAAATCTGGCAGGGATTCGCTGAAGCAAAAGGACGAGGACGACATGCAGCTGAAGACCCTGGGCAGCACCATCAACAGCATCAGTCGGTATCTGGGGGCCAATGCCACCGGGAGTGCTGGAAACGGCAGCATGGCCGAGAGTCTCTATGGCCAGGCCAACTACTTCCAGATAGTGGCCAACCTGTATGACCACTTCTACTGGCAGATAGCCGAGATAAGGACGCGGGTGAGGACGAACTGTGGCCTGGAGATGCAGGCCTATCTCACGGCCTTGCACTCCAGCCTGGAGTGGGCTCAGAAGGGTAGGATATCCCTCAATCTCTCGGAGGACTTTAATCCTTATTTGAACTCTACTTTCCAGCCTATGACTCCTCCGGCCGGTATCGGGGACAGTTGCTCTTTGGGAACGACAAGTGGCTGGGCCAGTTATCCTTCTGCTACGAACTCAATCGCCAGGACTCGCAGCTGGAGCGCAAGCACTTTGATTTGGAATTCTATGTGGCCGATGTGGCCCTCCATATGCCCAGACTTAATAGATCGGTGGGTTTCCCCTTAAAAATATCCTGGATATCCTTTTCTAATCCCATTCTCTTTCAGATGCTTTTGAGTCTAGGGGAGTGCCTGCCCAAATCCTGCTCTGCCCACGATGTCCAGTCGATACTCTCCCTGGATCCCTATGCCAGAATGCTGACTGTCCTGGGGGCACACAACACCTCGGTGCAGCAGCCTCCGCTCCAGGTCCTGCACGTGCGCACTGTGCCAGGACTCTACAGTCACTGGCGGCAGCTGAAGTTCCAGGTATTCATGTAAGTCTTTGGCCATCAGCCTGTCCAGGAAGATCCTTATCTAATGTCTTTGTTATCCTCCGTAGTAGCTTTATGCTCACCCTATTACTTGTGGTCCTGGTGGCCTCCTATTACCAGCTCAAGATCGACGAACGCCGCCTGGTGGTGGCTCCCATTGCTGCCATCAGCAGCGGGAAGTGCGACCTCGGCACCACGGCCTCCTCCAAGAATGGCGGCTTCTACGGCAAGCCCTTCGAGCTCTTCCAGATGCGCCCCCTGGGCAGCACCAATAGCCTGGCCGACGGCACGCACAGTCCTTGCGAAATGGATGTGAATGGAAATCGGCACTCCACGGACATGGCGGAAACGAATAATGATCCGAATACCACGTCCACATCGGGTTCCATAACGGGCAAGTCCGAAATGACGGACTACCAGGTGGAGACTGGCAGCTGTGCCGGTGCGGCGGGCACCTACGAGGCAGAGCAGCCCATTGGTGAGAGTCCTTAGAGGTCCTTGGAGTTCAAATCTTATAGTTTATTCTATTCCTTAGCTCTTCATCAGCAGATCCTCCTGTGCTTTGCCTTGCAGACAAATGCCAAGGCCATCCTGAACATAGACAAGACCAAGGAGGTGAGTCTTGGTGATCTAATCCTGCGGCAGGTCCTTTAAGCTATTCTCTCTCTTGTAGACCCACACCTCCTGCCTACATGGCCTGCGTGTTTTTTCTGTTTTGTGGACCATGATGGTCCATACTTATCTGCAAATGTTTGCAATTGGCGAGAATAAGGCAAGTCCTTAGTTCTTAGTCCTTTTTAGTCCTTTTCTATATAATATTTGGTTATATATTTCATTAGTTTGAGCGCGTTATCACGGAGAGATCGTTCTGGTATCAGGTGATCGGCAATGCCACCTTCTCGGTGGACTCGTTCTTCTTCATCAGCGGTCTTCTGGTCACCCTGCTCTACCTCAAACAGGATCGCAAATGTCCTGGCGAGCCGTGTACGTTTGTGAAGCGCAGCTTCCTGGAGACCCTAATGATGTTACTCTACCGATACTTGCGCCTAACTCCGGTTTATTTATTTGTGGTCATCTTTAATGACTTTGCAGTGAGGTTAGTGCTTCTATAGAAGTCTCTTAGAAGTTTTTAGATTCTTATACTGTCTTCCAGACAAGGACTCGATTCTTCAGTGTTCCAACCAGCCAAAATCGAGCACAACACCTGCCGCATCTACTGGTGGCGTAATATCCTTTATATCAACAACTTCTTCCCCCAGCAGGAGATGTGTATGATGTGGAGCTGGTACATGGCCAATGAGATGCAGTTCTATATTATGGCCGCTTTGCTGTTGGCCTTGGCCAGAAGGTTTGTTTTCTTAACTTATATTTCTTAACTTAAAAATTATATATATTTTTGTTATTTTTTTTAAGATATTTCAAAGCTGTGGCTCTCACACTGATGGTCTTTCTGATCAGCTCTTGGAGCCTTTCGGGCATTATTTCCTTGCAACATCATTACAACCACAAGGTGGCCTTGCCCTTCGAGTCCTTTGACTTTCTTTATGACAAGCCCTGGCAGAGAGTGGGCTCTTATATAGTGGGTGAGTCTAGAAGATTCTTTAAATATTATTACACAGAATCCTTCAAACAGCAGCCTCCCATCATCCTTGTTGGTCCTCCCATTCAATACTCATTCCCCTCCTATCCTTCATCCTTTTTCCAGGCATGCTGGCCGGCTATATCCTCTACAAGGTCAAGACCCCGCCACCGGTTTCCAAACGCCTCAATCTCTCCCTATGGACCGGCAGCCTGGCGGTTCTACTCGTTGTGGTCTTTGGCGTTTGGGAAGGACAACTGAGCGAAGTTAGCTCTGCTTTCTATGTGGGCGTGGCACACACCGCCTTCGGCTGCGGTCTGGTCTGGATCGTGTTGTCCTGCTGCTGGGGTCTGGCGCCCACAGTGAACGCCATCCTGTCGTATCGCGTCCTCTGGCCCCTGTCCCGTCTCACCTACTGCGCCTATCTGATCCATCCAATCATCATGTTCATCTGCTCCTCGCACATGAGTGGCACCGTCCACCTGAGCAATCCCCTCATCCTGACCCTGTTCCTGGGCAATGCCGTCGTATCCTTCGGCTCGGCCTTTGTCATTTCGGCCCTGTTCGAGGCGCCGGTCATTCGAATACTCAAGATCTGCTTCAAGAAGTGATCCAATAATTCCAGTCTAGTTTTGCTTTTTTTATTCAATGTTTTTTTTTTTGTCTAATTCATAATTATGAATATATTTTAGGAGTATAATAATATACTGTATATAATAGTATGCATATATTTTATATAATTATAGGGCGGTTCTAGAAATCCTTTGAAAATTCTTAAGGCCCTCCCTTATTTCCTATTCTTTTTTTATCCTTAAAGCTATAATATTTGACCTTTGACCTGGAACTGCCCTCATGTACAGTATATACACTATTTTTAAGGGGTCTTTCATGAGTGCGAGTGAAGTGTTTGAAAAATAAATGTTATCTACAAAATAAAAGGATATTATTTTCTTGCAAAAAAATTAAAACTATTAATTATAGAGATCGTTACTTAATCTTCTATTTAGTTTTAAAAATCCAAAAAAAAATATATGTATATTACAAAATCTACTTGAAAATTCGCTTTGCTGGAGCGCTGATTTGGCGGCGATGGGCCATCACTTCCACAACGATAATGAGCGCTATATGGACATGGCCATATATGGAGCCAGCCACAAGAGACGCTAGCAAAGGACTTTACTCCTTCACCGTCACACAACGCTCCGGATAGAGCAGCGACATCAACAGCTCCTCGGTGACCTCGATGGTTTTCACCGGCCCAGTCCCAGATCTCCCGGACATGGTGAAACTATTTGGCTTGATGTCGTGGTCGGTCAAACCGTAACCGGCATTGGTTAGATCTCGCTCCTCCTCGTCCAGCACAAAGTACAGGTCCCCAGCCAATTCCGATGAGAGATCATGACAGGGATGCAGAACCTTGATGGCGTCCCGTCGAAAGATCTGAACGGCCTGAGCCACTTGCTCGTTGACCCGCCGGCACTGCTCCAGCCGCTCGCCACCGGGAATGTTTTCCACCCGGGTGCACAGGGCTTCGTCCAGGCGCGAGAGCAGTCGCCGGAAGATGAAGCTGGCGTAGCGTTGGCGCTGCCGTTCGTTGAGCTGACGGCGTCGCAGGGAGCACGGCTGGAAGTAGGCGAATGCCAGGTATGCCATCAGCAGGATTTGCGACACAAGCGACAGGGCCAGGACGAAGAGCAGGGACTCCTCCTCGCAGGACAAAGACTCTTGTGGCCAGTCGGTCAGCGGCAGTGGGGTCACCCCCTCTGGCACGTATCTTGGCAGCATGGTCGTCCCGAGCATCACCACTGTTCCACCAAAGGATCACCGAGCGAGCTAGCTTCAGTCGACCGAAACGAAAGCGAGTCAAATTTCCGAAATTTCGATGTCGTAGGCGTTCCAGATGTTTGCCAACTGGCAATCATGATTTGAATGTCGTTGAAATCCAAATATTTATATTTTTAAACAGTTTTCAGTATTTCAATAATTTAACGCGCCAAATTTTAAATCCAACAAGTACTAAAAATACCCATCACTATTTTTGGTATTAATCCGATATATTCGTGACTATCGAATCGATAGTTCTATCGAAATACCGAAATATACCGCTTTTCAAAGCTTACCAACACTGTTAATACTGCGAATACACGTGCCGCGTGCGATTCGTAAACAAAATGCAGGTCTATTAAAATTGCGTAAAAACCTGGAAATTTAGTGCAAAAATGTCTCGCATTATAGTTAAACAGTTGCCCAAGCATGTGAGTATAGTAATTAATTAGATTGATCAAGTTAAAATAACTTTTAGAACTTAAACGGCAGATCACAGAGGAGAAACTGCGCCAAATCTTTGGGGCTCAGGGAACTATCACTGATCTGCAGTTGAAATACACACCAGATGGAAAATTTCGGCAATTCTGCTTTGTTGGCTACAGTACCGAGGATGAGGCACAGGCAGCCATTAAACATTTCGACAACACCTGCATCCAAACGAGCCGCGTGCGCGTGGAATCGTGCGCCGCTTTGGGCAGTGAGGCGAAGCCCCAGTCATGGAGCAAGTATGCAAAGGACAGCAAGAAGAACCAGGATAAGCTGAAAGCAGAAGAGGCTGCAGCAGCGGCGGCAGAGAAAGCCAAGGAGAAACTAAAGAAGAGCAAGGAGAAGAAGACGAACAAGGTGGACGAGATTATAGGCAAGCACAAGGATGATCCAGAGTTCCAAGAGTTTCTGCAGGCACACGACAAGTCGCGCACCCTTTGGGGCAACGACATGAACCTAAACGAAGGGCCAGACGATGACAAGGATGATGAAGATGAAGAGGGTGATGACGGATCGCCAGCTGGCCGAGATGATAGTGGGGTGGATGCCGATACAAGTGATGCGGAAGAGGACGATGACCACGAGGAGCAAGAGGAGGAGGAAGAAGCAGAAAAACTGGCCGAGAAGCCCATCAGTGATCTGGAGTACATGAGGTCACTGATGGAGGGCAAGTCCTCGGAAACGAAAGCCAAAACGCCAGCCACCAAGAAGACCAAAGCTGACAAATCAAATCTAGAACTGTTCACCATCAAAATCCACAATGTGCCGTACAACACGAAGCGCCAGGAGGTGCTCAAGTTCTTCAAGCCACAGAAGCCCTATTCCGTTCGATTGCCGAGCAAAGTGCATGGCTTCTGCTATGTGGGATTCAAGACGGAGAAGGACATGGCCAAGGCCATGCTTAAGAACAAGAGTTTCATCAAGGGCAAGCAGGTGTTCTTCTCCGACTTTACCGAGAAGAACAAGGTGACGAAAGCCACAAAAGCCGGACTGCCAGCGCCGGCGTCTGCGAGTTCTGAATCGTCGGGAAATGCCAAATGGAAACACCAGCAGGATAATCTCTCCAAAGAGGACGACATCTCTGAATCAGGGCGGATATTCTTCAGGAACCTGGCGTACACCACAACGGAAGAGGAGCTGCAGAAGCTGTTCGAGCAATTCGGTCCAGTGGTGGAGGTCAGTCTCCCCGTCGACAAGCTAACCCGCAAGATCAAGGGCTTCGGCACTGTGACCTACATGATGCCGGAGCATGCCCTCAAGGCGTTCAACGCACTGGATGGCACCGACTTCCATGGTCGGCTGTTGCATCTGCTGCCTGGCAAGGATATCGAGAAGAAGGATCCCCAAGACGACCTCGACGAGAACGATGCCAGTCTGTCCTTTAAGCAGAAGAAGGCACTGAAGCTGAAGAAGAATGCCCAGAAGCCGATTGGCTGGAATACACTCTTCCTGGGTGCCAATGCCGTGGCGGATCTTCTGGCCAAGCAGTTCAAGACCTCAAAGGAGCAGATCCTGGACACCAGTGGCGGTGGCAGTGGTGCTGCTGTTCGGCTGGCGCTGGGAGAGACCCAGATCGTCATCGAGATGAAGAGATTCCTGGAGGAGGAGGGCGTGCGACTGAGTGCCTTTGATGAGCCAGCTAAGAAGCGCTCCAACACTGTGATACTGGCCAAGAATCTGCCGGCGGCCACAGAGATAGCCGAGCTGACGCCGATCTTCAGTCGCTTCGGTCCCATTGGCAGGATCGTGCTCCCACCTAGCGGCGTTACGGCTCTCATCGAGTATTGTGATCCCTCCGAGGCGAGGCACGCCTTCAAGAAGCTGGCCTACAGCAAGTTCAAGACGGCGCCGCTCTACTTGGAATGGGCGCCGGAGCACGTGTTCACCAAAACCCTCAGTGGTGAAACGATTATTCCCAAGAGTGAGCCCAAGGAGGAGGAGCCCAAGGCCAAGGGCAAGGACAAGTCCAAGAAGGAGGAGAAGGAGAAGGAGGAAGAAAAACCAAAAGAACCCGAACCGGAAGATGCTCACGATGAACCCGAACCGGATACCACTCTGTTCCTGAGGAACCTCAATTTCAAGACCGTGAAAGAGACCGTGGAGAAGCATTTCCGGCACCTGGGCACCATACACACCCTGGAGATAGCCATGCGGAAGGATGCCCAGAATCCCTCCAATACGCATTCCCTCGGCTATGGCTTCATTCAGTTCAAGAAGGCTGCTGTGGCGGAGCATGTTCTCAAAAATATGCAACTCACCCACATAGACGGTAATCCTGTGGAGATCAAGCGCAGTGATCGTGTGCTCCAGTAAGTCATGGCTTTTGGAAGATCCCCACCTTCTAGAGGTAACTTATGATTGTCCTTTCAGGAGCCAAGACAACGAGGGCGCCCAACGGCGGCTGACTGCCCAGAAGAAACAAACTGGCACCAAGTTCCTGGTGCGGAACATACCCTTCCAGGCCACCTACCACGAAGTGAGGGATATCTTCAAGTGAGTACACGACCAAAAGTAGTTTCTTGTTATCCGATGTATGGCTCGAATATAGTGGATCCGGGAATATAGAAAAGAGGAGTGGGGGGTAAAGGATATTAGCTGAGGAAGGTATAAAGATATAAGATATCTATATATAGAATATAAAGATAAATGGTCTAGTTCCTGAGAGATCCAGAAGATCCTGAGAGATTCAGAAATATCCTAAAGTTCCAGAGAAATCCAGTAGTTCCTGAGAGATCCTGACCTTAAACCAAAAAGACCCCTTCAGGGATATACATAATCTCCCAAATCACACACCTCTTTGGGAGGTTCTTAGATTACCTCGATAGGAGTACTCCCTACAATATAATAGATATAAAAACTCTTTCCCTATCTCTTTATCGCAATATTCCTCCGATCTTAAAAAAAAACCCAGAATTATGAAAATATGATCCTTCCGAAGGCCATAACGTAGATGATAACCCTCCGATCCTCGAGAGGAATGCCCCAAAAGATTCCTAGAACCATTCTCCGCAATTCTGCATTAAAACCTGGAATTAAAATTATCGATCCAATTTTTTCAAAATTTTCTGATGGACCCCTTTGAAAATGGGGAAAATCACGAAATTCAAAAATATGGCTCTTGGGAAGGCTATATCTTGGCCGATATCCATCCGATTCTCAAGCGGAGTACCTTAATCGATTTGTGGATCGATTCTCCGTAGATTTGCATCAAAACCTGGAATTAAAATTTTCGATCCGATTTTTTCAAAATTTTCTGATGGACCCCCTATGAAAATGGGGAAAATCAAGAATCTCCAAAATAGGGCCCTTGGGAAGGCTATATCTTGGCCAATATCCATCCGATTCCTAAGCGGAGTACCTTAATCGATTTGTGGATCGATTCTCCGTAGATTTGCATTAAAACCTGGAATTAAAATTTTCGATCCGATTTTTTCAAAATTTTCTGATGGACCCCCTTCGAAAATGGGGAAAATCACGAAATTCGAAAATAGGGCCCTTGGGAAGGCTATATCTTGGCCGATATCCATCCGATTCCTAAGCGGAGTACCTTAATCGATTTGTGGATCGATTCTCCGTAGATTTGCATCAAAACCTCAAAATAAAATTTTCGATCCGATTTTTTCAAAATTTTCTGATGGACCCCCTATGAAAATGGGGAAAATCACGAAATTCGAAAATATAGTCCTTGGGAAGGCTATATCTTGGCCGATATCCATCCGATTCTCAAGCGGAGTACCTTAATCGATTTGTGGATCGATTCTCCGTAGATTTGCATTAAAACCTGGAATTAAAATTTCAGATCCCATTTTTCAAAATTTTCTGATGGACCCCCTATGAAAATGGGGAAAATCACGAAATACCAAAATATGGCCCTTGGGAAGGCCATATCTTGGCCGATATCCATCCGATTCTCAAGCGGAGTACCTTAATGGATTCGTGAATCGATTCTCCGTAGATTTGCATTAAAACCTGGAATTAAAATTTCAGATCCCATTTTTTCAAAATTTTCTGATGGACCCCCTTCGAAAATGGGGAAAATCACGAAATACCAAAATATGGCTCTTGGGAAGGCTATATCTTGGCCGATATCCATCCGATTCTCAAGCGGAGTACCTTAATCGATTTTTGGATCGATTCTCCGTAGATTTGCATCAAAACCTGAAAATAAAATTTTCGATCCGATTTTTTCAAAATTTTCTGATGGACCCCCTATGAAAATGGGGAAAATCAAGAATCTCCAAAATAGGGCCCTTGGGAAGGCTATATCTTGGCCGATATCCATCCGATTCCTAAGCGGAGTACCTTAAAAGATTTGTGGATCGATTCTACGTAATTCTGCATCAAAACCTGAAAATAAAATTTTGGATCCGATTTTTTCAAAATTTTCTGATGGACCCCCTTCGAAAATGGGGAAAATCAAGAATCTCCAAAATAGGGCCCTTGGGAAGGCTATATCTTGGCCAATATCCATCCGATTCCTAAGCGGAGTACCTTAATCGATTTGTGGATCGATTCTCCGTAGATTTGCATCAAAACCTGGAATTAAAATTTTCGATCCGATTTTTTCAAAATTTTCTGATGGACCCCCTTCGAAAATGGGGAAAATCACGAAATTCGAAAATAGGGCCCTTGGGAAGGCTATATCTTGGCCGATATCCATCCGATTCCTAAGCGGAGTACCTTAATCGATTTGTGGATCGATTCTCCGTAGATTTGCATCAAAACCTCAAAATAAAATTTTCGATCCGATTTTTTCAAAATTTTCTGATGGACCCCCTTCGAAAATGGGGAAAATCACTAAATTCGAAAATAGGGCCCTTGGGAAGGCTATATCTTGGCCGATATCCATCCGATTCTCAAGCGGAGTACCTTAATCGATTTGTGGATCGATTCTCCGTAGATTTGCATTAAAACCTGGAATTAAAATTTCAGATCCCATTTTTTCAAAATTTTCTGATGGACCCCCTATGAAAATGGGGAAAATCACGAAATACCAAAATATGGCCCTTGGGAAGGCCATATCTTGGCCGATATCCATCCGATTCTCAAGCGGAGTACCTTAATCGATTTGTGGATCGATTCTCCGTAGATTTGCATTAAAACCTGGAATTAAAATTTCAGATCCCATTTTTTCAAAATTTTCTGATGGACCCCCTTCGAAAATGGGGAAAATCACGAAATACCAAAATATGGCTCTTGGGAAGGCTATATCTTGGCCGATATCCATCCGATTCTCAAGCGGAGTACCTTAATCGATTTGTGGATCGATTCTCCGTAGATTTGCATCAAAACCTTAAAATAAAATTTTCGATCCGATTTTTTCAAAATTTTCTGATGGACCCCCTTTGAAAATGGGGAAAATCACGAAATTCAAAAATATGGCTCTTGGGAAGGCTATATCTTGGCCGATATCCATCCGATTCTCAAGCGGAGTACCTTAATCGATTTGTGGATCGATTCTCCGTAGATTTGCATTAAAACCTGGAATTAAAATTTCAGATCCCATTTTTTCAAAATTTTCTGATGGACCCCCTTCGAAAATGGGGAAAATCACGAAATTCGAAAATAGGGCCCTTGGGAAGGCTATATCTTGGCCGATATCCATCCGATTCCTAAGCGGAGTACCTTAATCGATTTGTGGATCGATTCTCCGTAGATTTGCATCAAAACCTCAAAATAAAATTTTCGATCCGATTTTTTCAAAATTTTCTGATGGACCCCCTTCGAAAATGGGGAAAATCACTAAATTCGAAAATAGGGCTCTTGGGAAGGCTATATCTTGGCCGATATCCATCCGATTCTCAAGCGGAGTACCTTAATCGATTTGTGGATCGATTCTCCGTAGATTTGCATTAAAACCTGGAATTAAAATTTCAGATCCCATTTTTCAAAATTTTCTGATGGACCCCCTATGAAAATGGGGAAAATCACGAAATACCAAAATATGGCCCTTGGGAAGGCCATATCTTGGCCGATATCCATCCGATTCTCAAGCGGAGTACCTTAATCGATTTGTGGATCGATTCTCCGTAGATTTGCATTAAAACCTGGAATTAAAATTTTCGATCCGATTTTTTCAAAATTTTCTGATGGACCCCCTATGAAAATGGGGAAAATCAAGAATCTCCAAAATAGGGCCCTTGGGAAGGCTATATCTTGGCCAATATCCATCCGATTCCTAAGCGGAGTACCTTAATCGATTTGTGGATCGATTCTCCGTAGATTTGCATCAAAACCTCAAAATAAAATTTTCGATCCGATTTTTTCAAAATTTTCTGATGGACCCCCTTTGAAAATGGGGAAAATCACGAAATTCAAAAATATGGCTCTTGGGAAGGCTATATCTTGGCCGATATCCATCCGATTCTCAAGCGGAGTACCTTAATCGATTTGTGGATCGATTCTCCGTAGATTTGCATTAAAACCTGGAATTAAAATTTCAGATCCCATTTTTTCAAAATTTTCTGATGGACCCCCTTCGAAAATGGGGAAAATCACGAAATTCGAAAATAGGGCCCTTGGGAAGGCTATATCTTGGCCGATATCCATCCGATTCCTAAGCGGAGTACCTTAATCGATTTGTGGATCGATTCTCCGTAGATTTGCATCAAAACCTCAAAATAAAATTTTCGATCCGATTTTTTCAAAATTTTCTGATGGACCCCCTTCGAAAATGGGGAAAATCACTAAATTCGAAAATAGGGCCCTTGGGAAGGCTATATCTTGGCCGATATCCATCCGATTCTCAAGCGGAGTACCTTAATCGATTTGTGGATCGATTCTCCGTAGATTTGCATTAAAACCTGGAATTAAAATTTCAGATCCCATTTTTTCAAAATTTTCTGATGGACCCCCTATGAAAATGGGGAAAATCACGAAATACCAAAATATGGCCCTTGGGAAGGCCATATCTTGGCCGATATCCATCCGATTCTCAAGCGGAGTACCTTAATCGATTTGTGGATCGATTCTCCGTAGATTTGCATTAAAACCTGGAATTAAAATTTTCGATCCGATTTTTTCAAAATTTTCTGATGGACCCCCTATGAAAATGGGGAAAATCAAGAATCTCCAAAATAGGGCCCTTGGGAAGGCTATATCTTGGCCAATATCCATCCGATTCCTAAGCGGAGTACCTTAATCGATTTGTGGATCGATTCTCCGTAGATTTGCATCAAAACCTCAAAATAAAATTTTCGATCCGATTTTTTCAAAATTTTCTGATGGACCCCCTATGAAAATGGGGAAAATCACGAAATTCGAAAATATAGTCCTTGGGAAGGCTATATCTTGGCCAATATCCATCCGATTCCTAAGCGGAGTACCTTAATCGATTTGTGGATCGATTCTCCGTAGATTTGCATTAAAACCTGGAATTAAAATTTCAGATCCTATTTTTTCAAAATTAAAATCCCCCTTTGAAAATGGGGAAAATCACGAAATTCAAAAATATGGCTCTTGGGAAGGCTATATCTTGGCCGATATCCATCCGATTCTCAAGCGGAGTACCTTAATCGATTTGTGGATCGATTCTCCGTAGATTTGCATTAAAACCTGGAATTAAAATTTCAGATCCGATTTTTTCAAAATTTTCTGATGGACCCCCTATGAAAATGGGGAAAATCAAGAATCTCCAAAATAGGGCCCTTGGGAAGGCTATATCTTGGCCAATATCCATCCGACTCTCAAGCGGAGTACCTTAATCGATTTGTGGATCGATTCTCCGTAGATTTGCATTAAAACCTGAAAATAAAATTTTCGATCCGATTTTTTCAAAATTTTCTGATGACCCCCTTCGAAAATGGGGAAAATCAAGAATCTCCAAAATAGGGCCCTTGGGAAGGCTACATCTTGGCCGATATCCATCCGATTCTCAAGCGGAGTACCTTAATGGATTCGTGGATCAATTCTCCGTAGATTTGCATCAAAACCTGGAATTAAAAATTCAGATCCGATTTTTTCAAAATTTTTTTTAAAAATGGGTACAGCGAGGGGGCATGAAAGTTGATTCTCCCAAGGATTTATGTTAGGAAATATGTGTCGGATCCTTCAGCGGAGTACTTCAAACGCTTTATAGTTCGAGAGCCCAGCATCCTGCAGCAGAAACGATCCGCTGAAGCTTCAGCGGCTTCAGCAAAGAGTGTCTGTGGACAACACTAACGATGAGATTCCGGGTGATATTGTATTTCAGAGCCTTTGGCGAGCTACGATCCCTGCGAATTCCCAAGAAGGCAACCTCTGGAGCTGGCGGAGAAACGCATCGAGGCTTTGGTTTCGTGGACTATATGAGCAAGGCGGAGGCGAAGCGAGCGTTTGAGGCCGTCAGTGCCAGTACCCATTTGTACGGTCGCCGTCTGGTCCTGGAGTGGAGTGCCAACGATGATGGACAGGATGTGGAGGAGCTGCGCAAGCGGACGGCTGCCAAGTTCGGCCAGAGCCAGGCCGCAACGGATGCCAAGCGAAGCCGGAAAGCCTTCTTCGATGTGGATGGCAATATGATAAAGGCTGCCGGCGAGGATGAAGATGAGGAGGACGAATAGTGTTCCATCCAGATTAGTGTGAAGGATGAAATGTATAAAGTAGATGAGTTATGTAATATAAATTATAATTTTTTTTTAAAAACAAAACCAAGGGGGGTTTTATTATACTTTATATATGGTCTTTAATTCTTACCTTTCAATATAACCTCATCTATCAACTCTTATCTCTTTCTTCTATGGAAGACGTGCATTAGGCGGCAGCGTCCTTTCGCTTTCTTTCTCCCAAGATAACCCACTCTTTTCCTATATAAATCCTTTCATTTAAAAACTCTCCCACCTTTTCTAAATAGAATATATTTTATTTTACGCTTCTGTTTATATAAAACCTAAATAATTAATATAAAACAAGACGAAAAAAAAAAACAGAATTTATAAGCATACACATCTCGTACATCAATCAGCCAGCAAACGCGCTACCTCACATTAGTAAATTATAGTACTAAGTATATTAATTAATTAGGTATAGGTAGGTATATATATATGTCTCTATATATATATATATATATATATTTAAATACATATATATATATATATATAATGTATACTTGTAATATTGAAAATATTTGCATTTCGTTACTAATTCTTCTCTCTTTTTTTTGTTGCAATTGTTGCAGTAAGCTAGCGGCAGGCAGGGACATGGGTACATGGGTACATATAGGGGAGTTATTAGTTATCTTTTCTTGTTTTTTTTTTAGTTAGCTCGCTTTGATCGTAGCATTAAGATACATATATATATATCGGATATCCGTAATACATAAGCATATGTATGTATAGAGGGAGGGAATTGTGGGTGGGGGGGGGAGAGAATGCAAGAAAGCATACAAGCCATACAAGCTAATGGCTTTCTAATTAGGGTTCTTTTTAGCATTATAGTTGCTATATAGTGTTAGACACTTGATCATCCCAGGTGTGTGTTGATGTGTGTGTGTGTGTGTATGTGCGTGTGTGCATATTTGTATTTTTGATGTGCTTTTGTGCTTGTGCTTGTGCCCGCCATTGAGCAGATTGTTCGATCCTAGCCAGCTCCTCATCCTCATCATCATCATTTCTGGTATATACAATTGGCAGCAGCTTGGGTGTGGTTGTGTGTGTGTTTATGTGCGTGTTAGGTCCTTTTTATTTTTTTTTTTAGATTTGCATTTTTGTGCAACAAGGGGCATGGAGTAGGCGTATCAACTGCTCTCTCTCTATTGCTATGTAAAAAAAATATATAATTTATATATATATATATATATATGATCCATATGTATAATGCAGGGGGCAGGGCTTTAGTCCTTCTTGATGCGAGCCTGCAGGAAGCAGTAGAGTATACCGGCCTGGGCCATCACATCGACTGTACTGGCGGCCAGTGGATCCTTCTGCTTCACCTGGGTCTGGCCGGGGCGCAATAGAGTCGGCCCGAAAACCATGGCCAGGTTGTGCAGCGACATCTTGTTATCCGCTTCCTTTTCATGGACTCTGAAAAGATGGACACCATGTCAGTTAAATCCCTAAGAGAATCCTCTTATTAGGTCCTTCCCACCTTATCAAATGATCCAGAATCAGACTGATGGAGGCCTTGTTGGCCTGAGGAAGCTCTTCGAAAACCTTGAGTAGCTCGCTGGTCCGTATGGCTTCATTGTTGTTGCTAAAGGCGCTGAATGTGTCGAAGAAACGCGGATAAAGCTGATCCGTGAATAGGGCTTCGGGTAGTTCTCGCAAGAAAGTCTTTAAAATTCCAGTCACCGAGTGGATGTCCACCTCGCGTAGTAGCTGCTCTGCCTCATAGGCATCTAGTTGGGGGAAAACACACCTTTTAGCATAAAGTAACTTAAATTATAGAGGAAGATAGATGCTAACCCGATTCAAAGGCCTTCTTGAGCTTGGAAAGATCAGAGGCACTACCGCTGACACGATAGCAACCGACCTCCAGCATTCCACGTCGCTCCACCTCGCGTATGCAGGCACTGATGATGAACGGAATGTCGCGTTTTTCGCGTCTGGAATTGGAAGATTATACAGGTTAGTCTTTGGTATGGTTTGGAGCTAAGAGATGACTAGATACCCACTTCAATACTTGGCTCATTTTGGCACCGAACAGTGCACCTGGCTTGGTTGTGGCGCGGCACAGTTCTCCGGGCACGAACCGGAAGCTGCAGCCCAGCTCCAAAGTCTCGCTGAGCTTAATGGTACGTGTCTGGGTGGTCTCCGTCAACCAGCTGAGGCTTAACTGCAGGAGAAAGGATATTACAACTTGGAAAACCATGATCCACATGATCTTATGATTCCAAACCCACCTTGAGTATGTGCTTGGCCCTGAGAAGGGGACGCTCCTTGGCCTCGTAGAGCAAAATGCGCACATTCTGGCTGCCCTCGAGCTCCAGCATGAAGCTCTCGTTCCAGAGCGGGGTCTGGCTGCGACAGATCATCTTGGTGGTGGCCTTGCGGAAGTAGTGGCCATAGGAGTCGACCTCGATACAGATATACAGATCGGTGGGCTGCTCCAGGCCCTGCAGCCCTTGGACGGCCATGTGAAGGTCACCGACCAGGAGGCTCTCGTCGTTGGTGTTGCGCATCAGATACGAACCCATTTCAGTCTTCATGCCCTTTTGCATGGCCACAATGAAGGCGGTGACCTCCAGAGCATTTATTGTGTTGGCACCCGGCAGGTTGCATTTTTGCTAAAGATTAAGGTTCAAGGATTAAGGATTAGGAAGAAGACTCAGACCAGAATGACCCACCTTTAACGATGTGATTGAATCAATCCACTGTGTCCGCTCAAAGTCCGAGCTAAGGAAGAAGGTCATGGTCTTGTTGTTGGCCTTGTTGCCCAGTCGCAGGACCAGATTGGGCGTGGCCAGCACCAGCTGTGACTCCAGATCGGCCAGCTTGCGACGGTACTTGTCGCCGGAGCGCACCGTTCCACCGCCATTGTTGCTGGCCGCCTCCAGGGCCAGTTGATCGCGCACCGAACGCAGGTTGCGCTTCACTTGCGAAATGTTCGCCGGACTAGATTCCTTCAGCTCCGCGGCCGGATCGGCCTCCTCGTAGATGGAGATATCCTTCAGGGGTATGAACCACTTCAGCTCGTAGTCGATGCGATCTCGTCCCAGAGCCTTGTACTTGGCACAGGCAATCACATCGTTGAAGAGGAACAGATGGCGCAGCTTACGATGTGCATCGACCAGCTCCACGATGAAGGAGTTGCGCACCATGCGCCGCAGGTTGCGGTTGGACTCGATGGGCAGGCGCTGGTTGACCACGTTGAACTGATTGAGGAACATCTGAATGATCTTCTGGGCCTGGCGCAGCGGCTGGTGATCCGGATGATTGGGCGGCGTCTCCCGGAGCAGATCGTTGAAGACCAGGGCGTTGATTTGGACGCGTGCCACCGGCTTGTGGAGCAGATCCTCGAGCGTTAGCGACTGCTCGGTTTGCAGATTGACGACAATGGTCGATACGATCTTCTTGAACTGCGGATTCGTGCCACTGCACTTCTTCACCGTGTCGATGGCGTTCTTGTAGTTGTGCAGAAAGGCGCTGTACAGGTCGAACATGTCGGCCATGCGCTTGAAGGGCTCTCCGATCAGGACATCGCCGCCCTCGTGCGACACGATCGTCTTCAGGTCCGCCAGGAAGGCCGTGTGCAGTTCGTACAGTTCGTCGATCTTGAAGAAGATCGTGTTCTCCTCCTCCTCCTTGATCACAGGCTGCGATGTGTTCAACGTGGCGTGGATGGCCTTCTTGTACTGTTCGGAGAAAGAGGAGGGGAATCATTAGTTACCTGATTTCCACAAAAATCCACCAAGCTATAACCTCATCCTCCGGGGCAACCCTACGGCGAAGTAAGTGCAACAATTTCTTTATTTTCTTCAAAAAACCCATTTCTATTTTATTTTTCGGACCAACTGCTCCGACTCGAGACTTTCCTCGCCGATCTCTTAGAATGGGAAGCACACAATGAGCTCCAGGATGCGAGGTTCCACTGGGAAGCTACGAATGTATTCCCAAGGCCTGCTCGATTTACTTTTCGTTCGGACTACATGTGAGGAGCGTCCCATTCGCGCCAGTACTGCCTCCTAATGAAACCGTGCGAGATCCGTGGTGAGGAAGATACCTCAGGACATTCCCCTGCAGCTGCAAGATCTGTCCTCCGCCTCCCCGACGCATCTACATCTACCCAGGAGCTCCTAGAACACAATCCCAGCTGCAATCCTCATTCACCTAATAAAAAGGATCCCACCTTCCTTACGGGAAAACGGAATGCATTCAGAACCATCCTAGCAGCCCCAGGAGCACCAGGTTCACTACCAGAGCAATCCCAGCAGCACCAGGACCACCCGGATCGCTGGAGCACCCGGAATGCATCCAAGAGCATCCCAGCAGCCCCAGAACCACCTAAAATCCATCCAGGAGCATCCCAGCAGCACCAGGGCCACCAGGAATCCATCCAGGAGCATACCAGCAGCCCCAGGACCACCCGAATCGCTTCCAGAAGCATCCCAGCAGCACCAGGAGCACCCGGAATGCATCCAGGAGCATCCCAGCAGCCCCAGGGCCACCCGGATCGCTTCTAAGAGCATCCCAACAGCCCCAAAACCACCCGGATCGCATCCAGGAGCATCCCAGCAGCACCCGGAATGCATCCAGGAGCATTCCAGCAGCACCAGGAGCACCCGGAATGCATCCAGGAGCATCCCAGCAGCTCCAGGAGCACCCGGAATGCATCCAGGAGCATCCCAGCAGCCCCAGAACCACCCGGAAAGCATCTAGGAGCATCCCAGCAGCCCCAGGGCCACCCGGAATCCATCCAGGAGCATCCCAGCAGCCCCAGAACCACCCGGAATGGATCTAGGAGCATCCCAGCAGCCCCAGGGCCACCCGGAATCCATCCAGGAGCATCCCAGCAGCCCCAGGGCCACCCGGAATCCATCCAGGAGCATCCCAGCAGGCCCAGAACCACCCGGAATGCATCCCGGAGCATCCCAGCAGCCCCAGGGCCACCCGGAATCCATCCAGGAGCATTCCAGCAGCCCCAGGAGCACCCGGAATGCATCCAAAAGCATCCCAGCAGCCCCAGAACCACCTAGAATCCATCCAGGAGCATCCCAGCAGACCCAGAACCACCCGGAATGCATCCCGGAGCATCCCAGCAGCCCCAGGGCCACCCGGAATCCATCCAGGAGCATTCCAGCAGCCCCAGGAGCACCCGGAATGCATCCAAAAGCATCCCAGCAGCCCCAGAACCACCTAGAATCCATCCAGGAGCATTCCAGCAGCCCCTGGAGCACCCGGAATGCATCCAGGTGCATCCCAGCAGCCCCAGAACCACCCGGAATGCATCCAGGAGCATTCCAGCAGCCCCAGGAGCACCCGGAATGCATCCAGGAGCATCCCAGCAGCCCCAGGGCCACCCGGATCGCTTCCAGGAGCATTCCAGCAGCCCCAGGACCACCCGGAATCCATCCAGGAGCATCCCAGCAGCACCAGGAGCACCCGGAATGCATCCAGGAGCATCCCAGCAGCCCCAGAACCACCCGGAATGCATCTAGGAGCATCCCAGCAGCCCCAGGGCCACCCGGAATCCATCCAGGAGCATCCCAGCAGCCCCAGGAGCACCCGGAATGCATCCAAAAGCCCGGAAAAGCCCTGGTCTTCTTCAGGAGCATTCCAGCAGCCCCAGGAGCACCCGGAATGCATCCAGAAGCATCCCAGCAGCCCCAGAACCACCTAGAATCCATCCAGGAGCATCCCAGCAGCCCCAGAACCACGGGGAATGCATCCCGGAGCATCCCAGCAGCCCCAGGGCCACCCGGAATCCATCCAGGAGCATTCCAGCAGCCCCAGGAGCACCCGGAATGCATCCAAAAGCATCCCAGCAACCCCAGAACCACCTAGAATCCATCCAGGAGCATTCCAGCAGCCCCTGGAGCACCCGGACTGCATCCAGGAGCATCCCAGCAACCCCAGGGCCACCCGGATCGCTTCCAGGAGCATCCCAGCAGCACCAGGAGCATCCCAGCAGGCCCAGAACCACCCGGAATGCATCCCGGAGCATCCCAGCAGCCCCAGGGCCACCCGGAATCCATCCAGGAGCATTCCAGCAGCCCCAGGAGCACCCGGAATGCATCCAAAAGCATCCCAGCAGCCCCAGAACCACCTAGAATCCATCCAGGAGCATCCCAGCAGACCCAGAACCACCCGGAATGCATCCCGGAGCATCCCAGCAGCCCCAGGGCCACCCGGAATCCATCCAGGAGCATTCCAGCAGCCCCAGGAGCACCCGGAATGCATCCAAAAGCATCCCAGCAGCCCCAGAACCACCTAGAATCCATCCAGGAGCATTCCAGCAGCCCCTGGAGCACCCGGAATGCATCCAGGTGCATCCCAGCAGCCCCAGAACCACCCGGAATGCATCCAGGAGCATCCCAGCAGCCCCAGGGCCACCCGGATCGCTTCCAGGAGCATTCCAGCAGCCCCAGGACCACCCGGAATCCATCCAGGAGCATCCCAGCAGCACCAGGAGCACCCGGAATGCATCCAGGAGCATCCCAGCAGCCCCAGAACCACCCGGAATGCATCTAGGAGCATCCCAGCAGCCCCAGGGCCACCCGGAATCCATCCAGGAGCATCCCAGCAGCCCCAGGAGCACCCGGAATGCATCCAGGAGCATCCCAGCAGCCCCAGGAGCACCCGGAATGCATCCAGGAGCATCCCAGCAGCCCCAGGAGCACCCGGAATGCATCCAGGAGCATCCCAGCAGCCCCAGGAGCACCCGGAATGCATCCAGGAGCATCCCAGCAGCCCCAGGGCCACCCGGAATGCATCTAGGAGCATCCCAGCAGCCCCAGGGCCACCCGGAATCCATCCAGGAGCATCCCAGCAGCCCCAGGAGCACCCGGAATGCATCCAAAAGCATCCTAGCAGCCCCAGAACCACCTAGAATCCATCCAGGAGCATCCCAGCAGCACCAGGGCCACCCGGAATCCATCCAGGAGCATTCCAGCAGCCCCAGGAGCACCTAGAATCCATCCGGAATGCATCCCGGAGCATCCCAGCAGCCCCAGAACCACCCGGAATGCATCCCGGAGCATCCCAGCAGCCCCAGGGCCACCCGGAATCCATCCAGGAGCATTCCAGCAGCCCCAGGAGCACCCGGAATGCATCCAAAAGCATCCCAGCAGCCCCAGAACCACCTAGAATCCATCCAGGAGCATCCCAGCAGCCCCAGAACCACCCGGAATGCATCCCGGAGCATCCCAGCAGCCCCAGGGCCACCCGGAATCCATCCAGGAGCATTCCAGCAGCCCCAGGAGCACCCGGAATGCATCCAGAAGCATCCCAGCAGCCCCAGAACCACCTAGAATCCATCCAGGAGCATCCCAGCAGCCCCAGAACCACGGGGAATGCATCCCGGAGCATCCCAGCAGCCCCAGGGCCACCCGGAATCCATCCAGGAGCATCCCAGCAGGCCCAGAACCACCCGGAATGCATCCCGGAGCATCCCAGCAGCCCCAGGGCCACCCGGAATCCATCCAGGAGCATTCCAGCAGCCCCAGGAGCACCCGGAATGCATCCAAAAGCATCCCAGCAGCCCCAGAACCACCTAGAATCCATCCAGGAGCATCCCAGCAGACCCAGAACCACCCGGAATGCATCCCGGAGCATCCCAGCAGCCCCAGGGCCACCCGGAATCCATCCAGGAGCATTCCAGCAGCCCCAGGAGCACCCGGAATGCATCCAAAAGCATCCCAGCAGCCCCAGAACCACCTAGAATCCATCCAGGAGCATTCCAGCAGCCCCTGGAGCACCCGGAATGCATCCAGGTGCATCCCAGCAGCCCCAGAACCACCCGGAATGCATCCAGGAGCATCCCAGCAGCCCCAGGGCCACCCGGATCGCTTCCAGGAGCATTCCAGCAGCCCCAGGACCACCCGGAATCCATCCAGGAGCATCCCAGCAGCACCAGGAGCACCCGGAATGCATCCAGGAGCATCCCAGCAGCCCCAGAACCACCCGGAATGCATCTAGGAGCATCCCAGCAGCCCCAGGGCCACCCGGAATCCATCCAGGAGCATCCCAGCAGCCCCAGGAGCACCCGGAATGCATCCAGGAGCATCCCAGCAGCCCCAGGAGCACCCGGAATGCATCCAGGAGCATCCCAGCAGCCCCAGGAGCACCCGGAATGCATCCAGGAGCATCCCAGCAGCCCCAGGGCCACCCGGAATCCATCCAGGAGCATTCCAGCAGCCCCTGGAGCACCCGGACTGCATCCAGGAGCATCCCAGCAACCCCAGGGCCACCCGGATCGCTTCCAGGAGCATCCCAGCAGCACCAGGAGCACCCGGAATGCATCCAGGAGCATCCCAGCAGCTCCAGAACCAACCGGAATGCATTTAGGAGCATCCCAGCAGCCCCAGGGCCACCCGGAATCCATCCAGGAGCATTCCAGTAGCCCCAGAACCACCCGGAATGCATCCAGGAGCATTCCAGCAGCCCCAGGAGCACCCGGAATCCATCCAGGAGCATCCCAGCAGCCCCAGGAGCACCCGGAATGCATCCAGGAGCATCCCAGCAGCCCCAGGAGCACCCGGAATGCATCCAGGAGCATCCCAGCAGCCCCAGGACCACCCGGAATGCATCCAGGAGCATCCCAGCAGCCCCAGGGCCACCCGGAATCCATCCAGGAGCATCCCAGCAGCCCCAGAACCACCCGGAATGCATCCAGGAGCATCCCAGCAGCCCCAGG